TACCTGGATTTGGAGTCAGTTTTTGTTGTGCTTGGGGTGATATGCCTGTTTGGGTAACAACAGTACTTTTAGGAACCGGAACAGCCTCTGCAGAAAAAATTCATTGTCAAGACTCAAGATCATTGTGATTGATGAGATTGCTTATTACAAATCAATTAAACAAACAGAAGAATGGTGGTATAGTCCAGTACCTGGAAGGAGCTGGTTATAGCCACCATTACCACCACTCATTCGAGCCAATATGCCGAGCAAAGGGGCATTGTTATAGGTAGCAGGCTCTGTTTGCTGATAATTGTCCCTTTGATCGGCGAAATTGTCATAGGCATCAGGCCCTCCAACAAGTGCACCAGTGAGTAGATTAGGATCTTTAGCTTTCTTGCTGTACCAGGTGGCATAACCTTGACGGCAGGCAATAAATTCAGGATCCACCTTGATGGAAACAATTGAAGAACCCCTGTGATGAACTTGTTGCGGGTAATTGTTCCCATACCCCACCATGTAACTTGTGGCTCTTGGATTGTCTCCAAGGATGTAATCCACCTGAAAGTTTTCAATTGCATACCATCAGATAAACATATATACACAACAAAGACTAATAATAATTAAACGATCAATAAACCTCCTTTTCTTACCTGAGACTTGGCAAAACCAAGGAGCTGGGATGATGGCACGCTGCCAGCGGAGCAATCCAAGTTTTTACCGGCAGAAGTGAGGTAATCGGAGTATACGGTGGCTAGGAAGGAGGCGCTGGTGACAAACTGCATGTTGTTCCATCTCTGCTTGAAAAGTAAGCCGCCGGGAGTCTTCTGAACGTTCTTGGTGGACTTTCCAAGCATTGAACACATGAAGGACTCTGCCTTCTGCTGGTACTGCTCAAACACTGGTTTATAAGGACCAGCTTTGCCTTGCATCAAGAACTGCAGAAGCAGGAAATTACACCAACAAATTAATCAACACTTGATTATCAAGTTCAATCAATACTTGATTATACCAAAAACGAAATTGAATTGATACCTTGGCGGCCAGAGTCTGAACGCCGGGATACTTGACGTCCCAACTAAATTCGGTCATGCTCCATCCAGTTCCACCCATGGAATCGGCATTTTTGGCAAGGTAGTCCAAATAGTACTTACTGTTAGAAGCTTGGTACAGCCACGCGGCGGCCCACAGCAGCTCGTCCTACAAATTAATTAGTAAATCAAGTTAATTAATTATTATTTCTTCTTATCTAAATTTCAGAATAAATGGGTATATATTGACTTCAAATTATTAACTGAAGCTAATAATTATGTATCAATTTCAATTCCTAAATTGGATTGCTTACATTATATCCACTGACGGATTGATAGTACTTTTGGGCGACGGTGATGCTGCTGTCATATTTCCCTCTGTATTTATCGGCAAAATCAAAGAGCTGAAAAAGAAAAAAAAAATTAAAAATAAAAATTGTGAGTGATGTAAAATTAACAACGATGCCAGGGTAATTCGGGAATGGGGTTTTAAATTACGGTTCGAACGTGACACCAGTGGTAAAGATTGCACTCTCCGTGGATCGTTAGAGATCAACGCTTCAGATTGGAGGGTACGACTATCTGTACGGTTGTCAAACACTACCCCCGTGATGGACGGTTATAAATGGTCCCAAAACCCGCCTTCCGATCCAAATTTTGCGCCGAAAAATTTTCTCATTCGTTAATTTTACATTGGTTGTCATTTTTTTAAAAAAAAAGTTGTTCTAATTTAATTATCAATTTTTATTTTAATATGATAAAGCATTAGAAACTCTGTTTTCATATTGTAATTTCATAATTACTTCTTTAACAAAAATTAATAATTATTCTCAATCCTCTTAATAATTTAGTCCCATTAAAAGGGAAAATTCTTTCATATAATAGAGATACTTTTTCAATAATATTTTCATCCATTCACATATTTTCACTTATAATTATTTAATTAAATAATTAATGATTTATAGTAAATTAATCTTTTTAAATACAAATGAGGACCACATATATTAATGTGTCGTTACATTAATAAATTAAAATACTAGTTATTTAGTGTATTTCTCTATTAAAAGTAATTATGAAATTTTAACTTAAAATAATTTTATTTTTATAAAATTAGATAATTATTTAATCGATATAATAAGAAAAAATATAACTAAATTTGGATGAGTAAATACATTATGCGCAGAACCATGAATTAAAAAAAGTCAATACATTATAATTATAATATTACAATGATATGTAACATTTTAATTATAAACTACTACAATAAAACATCATTAATTGTCCTAAACATGTACTCTATTTTGCAGAGTCTAGAAGATAGCATGAGGTTGGTTCAATGAAATGCGAACTTGCGCCTGCAAGTTGCACCAAACAAAATGACAAAGAAGCCACGCGGCATAACCGCCTATTTACTGCGAAGTAAGTTTTTTTTTTTTTGCAAACTTCTCTTGTTTTTATTTTTGTTTTTATTTTTTTGTGAATAATAAAGTTTTTCGCAAACTTTGCAAGCGTAACCGTTTCTCCTAAAAAACGCCGGTAAAGCCGAAAGGCAGTTAGTTAAAAGTTCCTTGATACTGACCCAGTTTACGCACTGAGGCCAGCGTGAGCCATAGCCCACAAACGCGTTGCCATCCGCCGCTGCGCGGCGTTTCCCGCAACAGCTAATTTTCTAGTATTTATGGTAAGAACAAAGGGAGAAAGTTTAGAACCTTGGAGGCGTGGTGAAGGAGCTCATTGGAATAGGCGGGGTTGGAATGGCGGAAGACTATAGAGGCAGCGGCCATGGCGGCAGCGGTCTCTCCGGCAAGGTCCGATCCGGGGTTATTACTGTCGATCTTGTAAGCCCGGCGGTCAGTTGTCATGTCCTCAGGCCTTTGCCAGCAGTAGTGGTCAGTGTTTCCATCTCCCACCTAAACCCAAACCATTCCGTTAACTACCAATGAACTTAATAATGATTGCGAATCTGTGTTGGAAGGAGAGAACGGGTTGTGGGTACCTCTCCATAAAGGACATTGGGTTCGGGATGTGCCTTGATGAAGTAGTCAGTGCCCCACTTAACGGCCGCCAAGGCATGGGCAAGCTCGCCGCTGGCCTCCATTTGCTTTCCGTACTCTATTATGCTCCATGACATCATTGTCACGGTGAATGCCATGGGCAATCCAAACTTCACATTGTCCCCTGCATCATAGTAACCCCCAACCAGATCCACCTGCAGAATTCCAAAATTCAAACAGAAATTTTAACTACCCATTTGTGCTTTTCATCAAAACGTGGTAAAAATTTTCAACAATGTAAAGGAGAAGCGAAAAGAGATAGTTCAGATTTAACTTACCCCACTAGCCTTGCCATCATTCAACCCAGAATTAGCCCTCCAACTGACTCTCTGGTTATTTGGGAGGTAACCAGATCTCTGAGCTTCAAAGAACAGAATGCTGTTACTCAAAGCCTGGGCATAGTCATGATCCGCAGAAAGAGAGGGTAAACAGAGAAGCACAAACAGAGGAGCAAATGCAATGAGTCTCAGAAACTTTCCCATGTATTCACACTACCAAAAAACGCAACAGCGGGAACA